TGGTTTCTTGATGTTATCCCATAATTCTTGGATGTTCTGCTCATGATTTCTTAACATTCTCGCTGAGCTGTCTATGTTCTTTTCAAGTTGAAAAACTTTGTCTTCGTTGTCTGAAGTTCTATCTTCTAAGTGTTCTATTCTGCTGGTAATACTCTCATTTGAGTTTTTAATTTGGTTTATTGTTTCCTGCATTTCCAGGATTTCTGTTTGTTTGTTTTTTCTATCCTCTATCTCCCTATATGGTTGATCTTTTGCTTCTTGGATTTGTTTATGTAATTCATTGTCAAAGTGATTTTTCATTGTCTGAATTTGCTGTATAATGTCTTTCTTGAGACTCCAGATCATCTGAAGCCTGTATATCCTGAACTCTTTGTCTGACATTCCATCAGCTGCAGATATTACCTCATCTAATGTTGAATTGACCTGTATTGTTTGTGGTTTTTTCTTTCCTTGTCTTTTCATACTGCTCATGATTCTTTCTAGCTTTGTGAAACTGTTGTGCTAATGTTTTTCCCTTTATATATTTGTATTGTTCTTGTATAGCTCCAGAATCCGTCTTTTTCGGAGAAAGACAATGTTAACAGTTCCCAATATCAGCAGTACATTATCTAAGCATAAGTTTTCATTACTAATACATTTATAGTTAGATTCTAAGACTTAGATATTGGTTTTAATTATTACTTAAGAATATATCCATTAGTTTCATAAAAGGCGTACCATATCTGGTGGCATATAGAAAACTTAATTTCAGACAAAGGATGTTRTATTTGGAGGGAAAGGAGTGAGGGTATGAGGTTAAACTAACTTAGCACCTTTGGAGAACTCTAACCAATAGACTGGTAATTTATGGAAGAATGTATAGACTCGACCTCCTATCTGTATTTAGATAGTTACCCTATGTATAGATAGCAAAGGTTAGGAGATTGAAAGTGGGATAGAGAGAATACGAATGAAAAAAAAAAGAAAAAAAATAACAAGGAAGAAAAGAGAAATAAGAGAAGGAAAAGGAAAGTAAGACAGAAATAAAGAAAAAAATAGGGGGAAGGTGGGGTATATGCAATTCCTCTATATTATATTACTTTGGTATTTAGGTTGTTCATGCACAGTTCTTGGTTTCACATATGCTGAAGTTGTGGAAGAGAGAGAAGAAAAGAGAAAGAAAGAGAAAAAAAAAGTCTGTCAGAACACTGTTTTCCTTGCTTCCAGTAGGTGGCGTTGTTTATTCCTAGCTTGAGCCTCTGTATTCAGGGTGATGGGCATAGCCAGTTTGAAAGGAAATGAGCTTCCAGTTGTATCTTCCCTGCTCTAGTCTCTGAGGTAGAAACCAGGTGCCTGTACAGTTGTTGTTTTACGTTGATAGCTACAACTCCCAAAAGCTTGTGGGAAATATTTTGAGTTATCGCAGCTAAGGGTGGGGGAGTTGGAAACCGGGTACCTGGAATCAGGGTACCTGGATCAGCCGCAGAACCGTGCTGGTAGCCGCACCCCTTTTGATGGGTTTTAAGGGTTGATGGGCTTCCTCCTGGCTAGCACTTGGGGCGGGGCCGGACTTCCTCCTCTGGTCTGGCTTGGCACTAGGCATCTTCCTCCTCCTGTCTGGCTTGGCACCAGGCGTCTTCCTCCTCCAGTCTGGCTTGGTGCGCCATATGGCCATTTTTTTTACTTGTTACATTGATGCTACTGGCTCTGCTAGATGCACTGCTTTACCTGGACCTTTTTATAGTCTCTCTTATTCCTGTGTAGCTGAGTGGATTCTACTCCTAATTTCTCTTCAGCTTTTCCCTTATTTAGCAAGGAGATATGGCTTATTCAAGTAGTCCCAGGCTGCTATGCTTCCTAGTGAATAATGAAATAGGCCAGGTCTACTTCATGGTGAACTGTGGATGTCTAGGTTCCCAGGGCCTACTTTGACCCCTGATGTTATTTGGGACTTTGGAGGGGTGATAGTTTGTCCTCACCCACTTGTATTTTGGACTTTGTTGACTGCTAGTAAATGTTGTCTGTTCATTTTGGATTTGCTATCTATTTGTTTTATCTTTATGTGAAGATTCAGAGACATTAAAAAACTATGCCTTTATTACTGTCATTCTTGGGTTTCTAAATTGCTAGTTGACAACTTAATGTATGTTTAATGAAGTTGAAATATTTTTTCCTTTAAAAATCATTTCCACAGAGGAAAAGGAATTGGTGTATGGAGTATCCATCCTTTCCAGAAGAGAAGCCACTACAGTGCAGAACAGGTCTCAGGACAGTGGGAGCAGTTGCCTCCCTCTCTGAAGCATGGCTTAAGTGTGGAGAAGGATTTCAGGACACTCCTAGGACTCTGGTAAAGTAGCTGTAAAATTGTTTTCCCTAATGCAGAAGGGTAAATGATAAGATTCCTCAGTGTTCATGTTGCTGTGATTACATTTCTTTGGAATTCCCTTTCTTATTTTCTTTTCCATATATTATAATTGATGCAGTATTTTTTCCCCCATTCCTTGAATTCCTTTAATAATTGTGGCAAATTAGTATCACCTTGTTAGGCTATGCAGAACCTTTGTACTTGTTTGTAAATGGAGGATACATACTGAGAATGTTTTCAGAAGTGAAACCATTGAACATACTACTTTACATGAAGTATACTTATGAAATGTTCATATATTCAGAACCTTTTGTCTATGAGATTCTGGTTAATTTTTGTACAAGTTATAACTTACAAAATAGAGGAATGGTATCATAAACTCTAATGTAGAGACAAACAGTAATAAGGACCTCAAGTGTCAGAGTCATATATGTGAACATTAATATTGAATATTAATGTGAAATTTTTTTGTTGATAATACAACAAAACTTTATTAACATTTTGGACAGATTGAGCTATGACTGATAGTGGCAATTTCTGAACTTAAGTTGGGGCAAATGGCTATAGTGCAGCATAATGCTATCACTGTGTATTGTGAATACAGACACAAGAATGAATTGTTACCCTTCAAATGAAGGATCAGGTGCAGAGGATTGTTGTAGTCAGAGTACAGTCATCTTCCAGCTGCTTGCCTCTAGAGGTGAGCCCCTGCTAGTCAAGGGAATGCCTTTTTTTATCCTGGATCTTGGCCTTGACATGATTGCCTTGTCAATTAGGGTCTTCACAAAGATCTGCATTTTGACCTGTTATCAAATGTCTCATCGATCCACTCATAAACATCCACACTGCCATTCAACAAAGCCACTCAGCACTTGAAATGTTTTGATCAGTCAACTCTGTTTCTATTCTGGAAAAAAATAAGTTTATAAGAATATAAGCAATGGGTTGGGGTTGTGGCTCAGTGGTGGAGTGCTTGCATATCACATGTGAGGCACTGGCTTTGATCCTTAGCACCACATATAAATAAATAAAGGCATTATGTCCATCTACAACTAAAAATATTTAAGAAAAAAAAAGAATATAAGGAGTATGTGCTTTGGCAATACTTACAAATATAAGTAAAGGGAAACAAGAATATATTAAGGAAAGTATAATTTAAGACTGAATATTTTACAAAGTATTGTTGGTTTTTAATCTATTGTCATGTAAATTACTTTACTGTTATTTTGCCTGCAGACACCAACAACTGAAAAGGTGACTCTTTCAGAAAAGGACCTTGAATTAGTTCCAAAACCAAAGAAAGGTAATACTACTTTTTTGATTTCTTTAGAGAGAAGGTGTAAGGCCAATACATTCTTTAGTGATTCTTTGCTTTCTTTCTGTTACTTACATAGTTTGGTAGTCTACATTTGTGTTTAAAAAACATCAAAAAGAAAAATCTTGTTGGAAATAAACTTAGGACCTGTGCTATATGGACTACACTGCTTTAGGCTATGAACAATGTCTTATTACTTGGTGAATCAGTTTGGGGAAGCTTTCCAGCTATAGATATTAGGAAACTCTTTTCAAATTCTAGGAGTTGAATTTATCTCCTACAACAAGATATCCAGAGAGCCTAACTGATTCTGCCTTTTGCAACCTTAGTATGGGGGTTGGTTCTTACAAACATGAGATGGTAACTGAATTCTCAAGGCTGAATTTTTGGGTACTAAGGATTTTTGCTGAGTGAACATTACCTTTCTTTGGGAAAGAATCTCTACCAGGGATAGGTTAATGAAATTAGGGATTTTTACAGAGTCATGTTGCTGCCAATAAAATTAGGGTTTGTGGTAATGGAGAAGAAGGAACATATATCAGATAGACTTCTGGCTTTGCTACTGTGGTCAGTAGTTACTGACTGTAGTCAGTCAGTTACTGGAGATGAAGAAGATGAACTTGTGACTTTAGTAAATCTTACTATGTTCTGGCTGTAATCATGGAAAAATAAGCTAAATGCTCTGACCCTCAATTTCTGCATCTGGAAAATGGGCATAATATTGAGCCTCATTGATTATTGTGAGTAGTAAGTGAGGTTAAAAACAATAGATAGAATGAATACTTAGCTCAGAGGCTCATACTTAGCAGATAATTAATGGCAGCAATAGCTGATATGTCTGATGGCAGAGTTATGTGAGAGTCTGCCTAAAGTTCCTGGGAATGGAATAACTTTCTGTGATGAAGACACTAAACATTCTAAGCCATAATATTTTACTAACACTTAAGAGGGTTCTTTTTTATGTATATGAAGAAGAAGGCCTGGCGTGAAGGAGTAAGACTTTAATCCCAGTTGTTCTGGAGGCTAAGCCAGGTGGATTGCATGTTTGAGGCCAACCTGGTTAATTTAGTGAGACCCTATTTAAAATAAAATCAAAATAAGAGTTGGGGATGTAGTTCAGTGGTAGAGTGCTCCCCTAACATGGGTAAGGCTCTGGGTTTCATCTCCAGTAATACACATAGGAAAAAGAAAGAAAATATACCAAAACATTTCTTCAGAATTCATAAAACACTGTTTCATAGAATAACTGGCATAGGAGCCAGGGTTGTGACTCAGTGGCAGAGCACTTGCCTAGCATGTGTGAGGCACTGGAAGGAGGTAAGGACTTCAACAGATGAATTTTTGGAAGACATAATTCAGCATAGACCATCAGGTGCCAGCACATAGTGGTTACTCAGAAATGTTTGTAAATGTATTTCTTTTCGTTCAGTACATTTTTACAGAATCCTTCCAATACAGCAAATCATGAGGAAGGAACCCCTCTGATAAAGCAAACCATGAAGAAACAAAGAAAATGAGTACTTCTGCCTGTTTTCATAGTCGGCTTAATATCCTTCCTAGATTTCACGGAAATGGCCCTTAATCTCAAGGGTGTTCCTTTTCAGCAAGTAAAATGAATTACTGACTAATAAATTCCTGATAGTGGTTTTAACTCTGTAACTTATGTAGTTTAGTTTATAAGTCTAGAGTCCTGGTTACTGAGAATTTGAATGAGATGGCTATTAATTACACTATCTCTTCTAATAGAAAAGTACCAGACAATTACATATTTTCTAGGAGTCTCACACTAAGCTCATAATGAAAGAGACTGCAGGTCTCCAGCTGCCTTGGGAGATCCGTGTAATGGTTAAGAATGTGGACTCAGAAGCTAGACTGCCCGAGTGTGGATCTGAGCCACAACTACCAGATGAACAAAGGAAGCATTGCATTTGGGAAGCCCTTTTAAACGGTTTACAACCTAGTAATAATGAAAGTTGATAAATTTGTCTAAATAAAAAGGGGAAGGGCTGGGGTTGCGGCTCAGTGGTAAAGCACTTGCCTTGCATGCTTGAGGCACTGGGTTCGATCCTCTGCACCACATTAAATAAATAAATAAATAAATAAATAAATAAATAAATAAATGTACTGTGTTTATCTACAACTAAAAAAATATTTAAGAAAAAAAAAGGGGGGTTGCTGGGGTTGTCGCTCAGTGGTAGAGCACTCGCCTTGCATGTTGGAGGCCCTGAGTTCAATCCTCAGCACCACATAAAAATAAATAAATAAAATAAAGGTATTGTGTCCAACTACAACTAAAAAATAATTTTTCTTTTAAAAAAAGGGAATTGGGAACTTTGTGGCAAAAATTGCAAATTATATACACAATGTAAAATCCAGAAAAACAAAAGGAGGGTTACTTGTACTTTATAGTACAAAGACTGATCTTCATAGCAAAGAAAACATTAGGAATTAATCTGGAGGGAGATAACTCTTATAAAAATAAAGATTATGAATGAGCTTCTTGCAGTAAAGCAAATATCCAAACACATGAAAAGATGCTTAGCCTTATCTGTGCACAATGAAACAGCACTAGGAGACCATTTATTTGTGATTAGATACCAAGTCTCAGTAAGTATCTTTCCATTTGTTCTAGTCTTCTTTTATAAATTCTTTGGAAGTCTGAAAAATTTCCTTCATTTAGATTTTATGTGCCTTTTAATTTTCTTTTACATATTTGATGTTTATTAACTACTGTTTTGAATTTGGTTTCTGTATAATGTTTTGTACTTTGCTACCTTTATTGCATTTCCTTAATTTTGGTAGTAGTTTTTCAGTTGGTTTCTTTATTTTTGTAATTGTTTTATAATATGCAGATTATGATCATTTTACTTTTTTGTTTAGTTTTTCAGATGCATAATGTGATTGGTGTTGTCTTTTGCAGACAAGTACATAGTTTAGTTTTATTAGTTATTTATATTTAAATAGATATGCAGTCTTAGGCAATTCAGAATGTTTATTTTTCCTTTTATACTTTGAAGAATAGGCTACTTCAGTAATTCTAGATTTTTATGGCATAAAGTGTTTAGTAAATGTTGATTATTTTGTTTTTGACATTTGTAAGTGCTGTTTTTCTTGACATGAGGTTTTCAGTGAGTCTTCCTATCCTGATCAATAGGAGTGGAAAATTTTTTTGTGTGTATGCCACCATTATGTTACAGCATACCTCTAGCATAATATTTAATTTGTATTTTCATGACTACTATTTTGAGATCACATTTTTTTTTTAGGACAGGACTATGCTATTTCTTTTTTTCTTTCTTATGGTTTACTTTATCACATTGGTTCTATACATATGCATTAAACGAAACCACTTAACATCTAAGCCTAATTTCCTTTTCTGTAAAACATAAATTATAAATAAATGTCTTTTATCCTATAGAATATTGAAATGACTTTGAAATTGAACTTTGAAATTTTCACAAATTCCATAAAATGTGGGATAAGATAGAATAATAGTTTTAGCATTATAGCTACAGTTATGAATATAATGAATGGTTTTTATTAGTTGCATATTTCTTTTCTGATCAATATCAGAAAAGTTTGCTGTTGACTTGTGATTCTATAAAGATACAGTAGCCCCACTCCTTCTAGGTGTTCCATCTATCACAATGACTAAAATAAAAAGGGGTAAAAACACCAGCTGCTAATGAGGCCTCATGTGGAGAGTTAGTCCACTAATTGATAGTGGACTATAAAACTTTCAGCTTCTCTGGAAAACACTTTGGCATGTTTACTCCTTACAAGAGTAAACATGCAAGTATTATACTACCCAGGAATTGTACTCTTAGGTATTTATCTCAGAAGATGAAAATTACATTCATATAAAATCTTATGTACAGATGTTTATAAGCTACTTTATTCATCATAGCCCTAAATTGGAAATAATACATATATCCTCAGTGGGTAAATGATTAAATAAACTATGGTATATTCATACCGTGGAATCTTATTTAGTAATAAAAAGAAAGTAACTATTTGTACACAAAATTATTTTGATGAATGTCTTGAGTATTATGCTGAGTGGGGGGAAAAACAGTCCTAAAAGGACTGATTTCATTTGTATAACATAATTAAATGATAATAAACATTAGAAATGCAAAACTGATTAGTGGTTGCCAGGGGTCAGGATTAATGTGTCAGAGAGGGAAGAGTTATGGCTATGGTAAATTAACCCAGGGCATCTTAATTAATTTTGACTTGATCTGTGTCAATATCCGGGATGTGATATTATACTACAGTTTTACAAGATTTTGCCATTGGAAGATATAAAGGGTCTCTATACTCTTTCTTTAAACTATGAATCTACTATTTCAAAATAAAAAAATTAATTACATGCAAAAGTTTTTAAGCACTCTAATGCTACCAGGGTTCTTTCATGGCATGGGAAGCACACATTTTTATTATTCATATATATTGGTTTTGTGGTTTGGGCCTTGTTTTGTGCTTTTTCACTTGTAGTTTCATAAACTATTCTATGCTGTTACTTCAACTCTTACTTTTCCAGTTTTCTTTTGTGCTCCTTTCATAATTTGTCTTTATAACTTACCTCAAAAGTTTTACTTCTTTTTCTTGTAACTTGGATTTAATGCAAAGTCTTTTTGAAGTTGTACATGGAGCTTTAGGCAGCAAGATTTGTTATAAGTCATTGTTTTTATTTTCATCAGAGTTTTGTATGTTGAGACTTTGGCAAAGTAGCATGCACAAAATATTATTCTAATAAATAACCATATGATTATATTTATGTATTTTCTTTTTCTTTAACAGAAATTACCACATCTAAGAATACCAATGAGCTGACAGATATAACATGGAGTTCCAGTGGAAGTGATCTGTCAGATGAAGACAAAACACTTCCTAAATCACAGAGAGCTAATGAACATGGCTCTATAATAAATAAGTTCCATAACAGGAATATTTTATGTCCAGAAGATGGGGCCAGTGAAGGTAAATTGCTAATTTTGTAAGAAATTGAGTTTCTATTAAATACTGGGTTCAATATTGGAAGAAACGTTCTTTTTTATATTTATTATTAATAGACCTAGCCTCTTTGATAACATCTTTAAAAACATTTTCTCTTTTAATATTTCTTATAAGTCTAAGAGATAGATATTACTGGTATTATTTTGACAGTTCACAAGTTAGGCTTAGACCTATCAGAATTGGTTGGAATTTAATTTCAGTCTCTTTGATGCTAAAACCAGTTCTCTCAACTCCCACATAATGCTACACCCATGCTACCTTCTTGCTCACTTATTAACATTGAATAAATACTGTGACAACCAATGTGTGGTAGAAGTATAACATCAAATTTCTGTTCTGATGGCCTTTTATACTGCATCATGTTTTAGTTTGTTTAAAAACAAGGTTTCTCAACCTTGATACCATTGCCATTTGGAGCCAGGTAATTCTGCTATAAGGAGAAATTTCCTATGCATATTATGTAGGGTGTTTTGAAACATCCCTGGCCTCTACCCACTGGATCACAGTAGTACCCTCTACCCCCAGTTTTTGACAACTAAATATGTTGGTCCTCTGTAGTATAATATCACCTCTAATTGATAACCATATTTGTGCTATTATGGAAATTATGTCCTTTTGCAAATTTAAAAATCTGGAGTATTTAAAAATCTTAATGCTTTCAAAATAACTTGTGACTTTTAACTCTGATAGTTCATGTTAGATACTTAGTCAAGGTTAGGTTTGGATGAACAGCCTCTCTGGCAGGTGATTAAACATTTTGTATGGTGGTTTGAACATTTTGTATGCCATTTTGGTGACAACCCTTGATATTTTAGTAGTTCTCAGGTGAAGTGATATTTCAAGTTTATACATAAGCTGATAGTGCTTATATTATTAATTCAAGCATATTAATTGAAATTATGTTGCTTTTATTCACATACTTTAGAACATAATTTCAGTATTGACAAATGTATGCTTTTCTTAGATAAATAGTAATGGTATATGAATTATATCTTAAAACTGGCATTAAAAATAAAAAATTATGTTGTCTTCTTGTATTAAAAGAAGTATTTGGTAGTTTCCAAAACTCTATTCATAAAATGGAGAGGTTCCTTGGGCTGATTACTTCAAAATGAGTTAATATATTGTTGAATTTTCATATAAAGTTGAATTGTAGATAACAAGTAAATTATCCTTGGAGTGTATGCAGTCATGTTTGCAGCTGCTGGACATTTCTGTCTTTCCCCTCTGCTTCTCTTTTCTCATATTCCCCAATCTGTCTTTCTTTTTTTACCTTTAGTGAATGACAGCTATTCCATTTGTCAAGATATTATGTTGTCCCAGACACTTGACTGGGCATTATATATGTTATTTTCTTTCCTATATACTATATCCTGCAAGCTAAGAAGTACCCTCATTTTATAGAAGAAATTTGGAACTTTGAAAAGTCAAGTCACTGCCCCAGTCCCACAATAAGTGTGCCAGTTGATATTCAGACCCAGAGATGTCTGACTTCTTTGCTGTGTGATGGCTTCATAACCTTTAGTATTCCTAGACCTTTTTTTAGCCATACAGTCAAGAGACTTTAGTCTGTACAGGCCAGAATTGGGGTTAAGAAGAAAAAACAAAAGTTTAAATTTAAAAAATGTTTTTCTCTTAAAAAATTCCCCTTCTTCATTTGAATTGGACATGACTTTGGCAGAATTTCTTAAGTTACTAGAGACACAACTCACCCCAAACTTTAGTATTTTCTAATGATTATAATGGATTTTCACTGTGCTTCTGGAATAACAGTATCATGTTAAAGACTTTGTTTTGTTTATCTCATATTTTAACTTTAGCTTAAATTTTCTGTCTTTTTTAAATTTTTAGGCCCATCCAGGTATTAAAGATAGTACGTTTTTTCTTTTCAATATTACTTCACTTTACTGGAAGTGTAATTATTACTATCAGACCTACAAAATAGGATCATGATATTTTATTACCCTTCTGAGTTGCTGAAGTAACTATTAAGGAGTATCATTCTTTGTATTGTAGGAAAAGTTTATGTATCATCCCTCAAAAATTATTCATCTTTAATAACTGCTTTCATTTATTTAAGCATAGCAGATTAGAATCAGTATATTTGGTTGTTTAATATATGAAAATAATTTAGCTTTCAGACTTAAAATTTTACAAAAGTAGCATCTAGTTAATGCTTATGAAGTAAACTAAATGCTGAATTTATTTGTTTCCTTATTGATGAAAGAAATCTACAGAAAAAGTTATTGGGTGGAGACATTTGAAAAATCATTTCTAGTAGATGATTTAAATAGGCTATTGTTCAGTTGTGCAGTGGAATACTAAATTGTAGAAAAGAATGGGGATATTCATTCCTTAGTGGTAAAAGAAAAACTCTTCATTATGTTAAGTGAGAACAGTTAAGATATGTGAGAAAGCTGAAAAAAATAACATATATATCATATTTTCTTGAACCTGCTGGAGAAATTGTAAGTATTGAAAAACAATAAAAAGCTGGGCTTAGTGGTACACATATGTAATCCCAACAACTTGTGAGTCTGAGGGACAGTCACTGGAGAAAAGAGTAGAAATCTACTTTTTACTATCAATATATTTTTTAAAAAAATCACCCAGTAACATGGATGTATTAGGTACTGAAAAATGTGAAATAGACTAAAAAATGTTTTAAAATTGTATCTTTTAGATGAATTACAGTTTATTGACTGGGAGATCGACAGTGACAGGGAAGATGCTAGTGAATATAATGAATGGGAAGATGGTAAGGGTGCTGTAGAAATCTCAGATTGTGCCTCTTGTGCAAGTAGTCATTCTTTGACAAGTGATGAGAGACTATCTGAGCTTCCTAAGGTAAGAAGAAAGTATTTCAAAAAGTTTTATTTTGTTTACAACATTTGCTCATTAGAGCCTTTAGGTGTCTTCTCAGAGTCTTTTGAATCTACTGGATTTTTTTGTCTTAACCACTTTATATCCAAATAATACACTTATATTATACTTCTAAACATGGATAAATACTGAGCTGTCTTTTCAACTCTCATCTCACTTCCATCTGAAATTTACTGAAAGTTTTCTGTACTTCCATTATCCTACTCAGTACAAATATATCAAGGTTGGGTTAGATACTACTCTATTCAGTATTTACACAATTGTGAATCAATAATATTGATACATGATATTAAAAATGTGAATATTATTTTTCTTTCACAACTTTTTGTTTTCCTTGGGCTTGGTATTTATTTGTTTATTTTTGTTTTTATACTTTTAATTACCATTAAATATTTTATTTATTTGTTTTTTTCAATTTTTAATTAATTTTTAAAATTTATATATGACAGTGGAATGTATTACAATTCTTATTACACATATAGAGCACAATTTTCCATATTTCACACCAATTTGTGTCTTTATACATGTACTTTGGATAAAAATGTCCTTCACATTCGACCATCATTTCTAACCCCATGCCCCCTCCCTTCTCGTTCCACCCCTTTGCCCTATCTAGAGTTTGTCTTTTCCTCCCATCTCCTCCTCCCTACCCCACTATGAATCAGCCTCCTTATATCAGAGAAAACATTCAGCATTTGTTTTTTTGGGATTGGCTAACTTCACTTAGCATTATCTTCTCTAGCTCCATCCATTTACCTGCAAATGCCATGATTTTATTCTCCTTTATTGCTGAGTAATATTCCATTGTGTATATATGCCACATTTTTTTTTATCCATTCATCTATTGAAAGGCATCTAGGTTGGTTCCACAGTTTAGGTATTGTGAATTGTGCTGCTACAAACATTGATATAGCTGTGTCCCTGTAGTACACTGTTTTTAAGTTCTTTGGGTACAGACCAAGGAGTGGGATAACTGGGTCAAATAGTGGTTCCATTCCCAATTTTCCAAGAAATCTCTATACTGCCTTCCATATTGGCTGCACCAATTTGCAGTCCCACCAGCAATGTATAAGTGTACCTTTTTCCCCACATCCTCATCAACACTTATTGTTGTTTCTGTTCTTGACAGCTGCTATTCTGACTGGAGTGAGAATTTGATTTGCTTTTCTCTAATTGCTAGCGATGATGAACATTTTTTCATAAATTTGTTGATTTGTATATCCTCTTCTGAGAAGTGTCTCTTCAGGTCGTTGGCCCATTTATTGATTGGGATTATTTGTTTTTTTGGTGTTTAGCTTTTTGAGTTCTTTATACACCCTAGAGATTAGTGCTGTTTCTGATGTGAGGGTTAAAGATTTGCTCCCAAGATGTAGGTTTTTTATTCACCTCACAGATTGTTTCTTTGGCTGAGAAGAAACTTTTTAGTTTGAGACCATCTGTTTACTGCTTTGTTGTTAAGCATTTCAGAAATAACAGGCATTCTATCAATTCCATTTTCTTGGAGAATGCCCACCCACAACCTCCAATGTGCTCCAATTTGAACTTAGTGTCGTCTTTGTTTTGTGGACATTGTCAACCTGATGTGTCCTTTTACCACTATTCAAGAAATTTATTTACTTCTCTCCTGTGTAGAGCTCCATTTTTATCCTATATTTTATGTTTTCATCCTTGCCTTGGTTGAACACATCTTCCAGTGGCTTTCAGAAATGATTTACAGAAGATAATATTTTTGAGAATGCATGTCTGAAGATGTTTTTATCATACATTGGTATATAATTGAAAACTTGTACAGAATTTTTGATTGAGAATAATTTTTCTTTGAAGTTTTGGAAATATTACTTCATTGTCTCTAGGGCAAGTTACTTGTGCTTTATTTTGAGCCTTTGGTGGTGTTTCCTTAATTGTTCTTATCTTTGTATTCATGCCTTCTTATCTGTTCTGGAATTAATTATTTGTAAGCAGGCTAAGAAGCATGCCATGATCTAAAATTTTCTGTTGATCTTTCAATTATTATTTTTCTCTCACAACTTTTTGTTTTCCTTGGACTTGGTAATTATTTATTTTTGTTTATCTACTTTTTTTGGGGGGGAGAGAAGAGAGAGAGAATTTTTTAATATTTATTTTTCAGTTTTCGGTGGACACAACATCTTTATTTTATTTTACGTGGTGCTGAGGATTGAACCCAGCGCGCCACGCATGCCAGGCGAGTGCGTTACTGCTTGAGCCATATCTCCAGCCCTGTTTATCTATTTTTAATTACCATTAAATAACTCTGTGAGGTGGGAGCTGTTTTTATCCTCCCTATTTTCCAGATGAGAATTCTGAGGGGGATAATTAAATAATTTTCATTGTGTTTTAAACTACTAATACTAACTAATACAGGATTCTAATTCAGGCATTCTAGCTTCTGAGCTTTGGTTCTAACCATTTTGCTGTAGTGTCAAGTAATACTAATAGCAATAATAAGATTACTAACCATACCGTGAGTTCTTACTGTGTTAACCACTTTTCTAAGTGTCGAATATATGAGGTAAATATTACTATTAAGCCCTTTTGAAAGATGAGGGAACGGAGGCACAGCTAGTAAATGGCAGAGTGTGATTTTAATTTATGAAGTCTGATGCCAAATTCTGTTTAACGATTTGTGTTATATTCCTTGGAATGTAACATGTGAATTACTTGAAGGAAAGCATGGAAGGAACTAAAGTCCATGGCAGTAACTTCTCTGTACTACTGTCTTTTAACATACTTAACAAATGTAGCTGATTATGGATGTGACTTTCCATGTTGGTTGACAGTGCTGCTGCCTGGATTTTCAGTTTGTTTTATCATTGTCATCTAAGAATCATTCCTGTAGAGGGCAGCAGAGATATACCACACAGTTGTGGTAACCTACATTTTTTTTTTTTTTAGGAACTATGCAGGAAATCAGATTTAGGTAAACTTTGTTATGTAATTCCCATGCACTTTACGTAGTGATCCCTATGAAAATATAGGCTAAACGACATAATACATATCAGATAACTAGAATGAGGTTCAAGCTTTTTGTTAAGAAGGTAAACAGAAGCTGACTGGCACAGTAAAAGACTTAGAAGTAGTGGTTCATGCAGTTTCAAATAGAAAGCAAATGTGGTTTGTAAGTTTGAAGTTTGGCTTCATTGTTATGAAACAGATGATTGCTTTTTGCTCTTTACCAGTAGGGGAAGAAAAATTATTTGATAACTCATAGAAGAAGGAATTGGGGAAAAGTTTTAACAAAACAGGAAAGTCATCTGACAAAAATTTTTAAGTATTTCTAAATCTGAGTATTTATAATTGTTTTCTAGTATTTTTAATTATGTAATACACCTAACATAAACCTTACATCWGACTATTTTTAAAGTTATGGTATGAAATATTTGTGTAATGCTGTGGAACCATTATCTTCCATCTCCAGAACTCTTTTTATCTTATAAAACTGAAACTCTGGGGCCAGAGCGCTTGCCTAGCATCTATGAGGCCCTGGGTTGGATCCTTAGCACCACATAAAAAATAAATACACAAAATGAAGGTATTGTATCCAACTACAACTAAAAATATTAAAACAAAACAAAACAAAAAAACCCCTGAAACTCTGTATCCATTAACCAATAACTCCTGATTTTCCCCTGACCCCCAACTCCTGGAAACCCACCATTCTACTTTCTGTCATTCTGAATATGACTCCTTTAATTACCTCATGTGAGTGGAATCATATGTTATCTTTTTTTGTGATTGACTTATTTCACTTAGTATAATGTCCTTATGGTTAATCTGTGTCGTCAGAATGTCCTTCCTTTCTAAGGCTGAATATTATTCTATTGTATGTTTATGACACATTTTGACTTAATTTGTGGCTTAACAATTAGTCTAACCTGGAACTTGTCCTCTGTACTCTTGAGAAGAATGTGTATGCTGTTGTTGGATACAGTGTTGTAATGTTGTATAAATGTGTTAGATCTAGTCAGTTTATTGTGTTAAGTCCTGTATTTCCTTACTCTGTCTGGTTGTTCTGTTACAGAGGAGGGTATTGATTCCATCAACTATAATTATGAACCATTTCTCCTTTTAATTCTGCCAGTTTTGGCTTTATATATTTTAAGGTCTCTTATTAGGTACATAAATATTTGTAATTTTTATATCTTTCGTATTGAACCTCTTTAATATATATGTACTTCTTTATCTCTCATAACCTTTTTTGATTCAAGTCTTTTTTTTTTTTCTGGTATTAGTATGGCCCCTCTCTTCTCTCTTATAGTTACTGTTTGTATGGAGTGTCTTTACTATTTGATTTCAATCTTTTAATATCTTTAATCTAAAGTGATTCTAGCATAAACAATATGTAGTTGGATTTTTTTAAAATAAAAGCTACCAATCTCTGTCCTTTGATTGGAGAGCTTAATTCATTTAAAGTAATTATTGGTATAGAGGAAGTTCTATAATTTTTCTGTTTTTTTAAATATCCTGTTTTGCTTATTTTGTCCCTCATTTTTCTGCATTACTGTCTTTTTTTGTGTTTAGTTAATTGTTAATTTTCCTCTTTTGTATATTCTGTAACTCTTTTCTTTGTGATGCCATGGGAATTATGTTTAAATAATGACATTTTAACTTTTTGATTGAATGTGTACCAGCTTAACTCCAGTGCATACAACAACACATTGCTTTTTTATAACTACATTCTCACTCCTTTAGGTGATTGATGTCACAGAATTGGATCTTTTGCATTTTGTGCCCCCAAACATAAACTAATAATTCTTTTAAATCCATTCTCTTAAATTATGTAGAAAACAAAATGTAGAGTTACATATCAAAATTACACTAGGACCACTTTTTAGACTAATAATAAAAAATGTATTAGTCTCTTAAGTCATACAATAATATATACATTATTATTATATAAAATATTAGATTTTATAAATGCCCATAAATTTGCTTTTATTCAGCTCTTTATTTCTTCAGGTAACTTTTTTAGTTTTGTGTAGTGTCCTTTCATTTCAACTTGCAGGAGTTCCTGTAATTTTCATAGCAAGTCTGGTAGTGATGAACTTCCTCAGTTTTTATTAATCTGGAACTATCTTAATTTCTCCAGATAGAGGATTTTTTTGTGTGTGTTTGTTTCTTTAAGACTTTTAATATGTTGGCTTACTGTCTTTGGCCTCCAAAATTTCTGATGAGAGAAATGTGCTTATAGTTTTCTTGAGAATCTTACATATGACAAGTTGCTTTTCTTTCACTCCTTTCAAGATTTTCTTTGTCTTTGAAAGTTTGATTATAGTTTTGAGAACCTTGGCTGGGGATAATCGGTGCCACTTCTTCATGAACGAACCCCCTTGTACTCCTACTGGAGAGAGGGTGTTGAGACACACGAGGTGAAGGCTGGAGAACTGATGGGTGGGCTGATTTGGAGGAAATGCCTCACTTTTTAACTCCACTAACAACAGCAAGAAGAAATAGTTATCATTTTTAAAGTGCTCATTCGGTGCCAGGCTTTATATTCAACACTACCTGGATTATCTCCTTTAAATTTTCACAAAATTCTTATTTTATTTTTTATGGTAGTGGGGATTGAACCCAGAGGCCTTCTACCCCTAAGCCACACCTCCAGCCCTTTTGTTTTGAGACAGGATCTAGCTAAATTGCTGAGACTGGCCTTGAATTTGCAGTCCTTCTGCCTCACCCTCTCCAGTTGCTGAGATTATGGACCTGTGCCACCACATCCAGATCACAACATCCTTTTAAGTTTTCCAGGGACACAGCTTAGAAAAATGCAGGCCTCATGTGTCACCAACTGCTGACCCACCGCCTTGATGACAGCACCCAGTTCAGTTCCGGCAGCCGACAATCAGCGGCCTCTCACAGATCACCAGAAGCCTGTACGTCAGCAATGGTGTAGCTGCCAACAACAAGCTCTTGCTGTCCAGCAACCAGGTCACTTCAGTCATCAATGTCTCAGTAGAGGTGGTAAATACCATCTATGAGGATATCCAGTATACACAGGTGCCTGTGGCTGACGCACCCATCTCCAAGCTCTATGACTTCTTTGACCCCATTACCGACCACATCCACAGTGTGGAAATGAAGCAGGGCTGTACACTGCTACACTGTGCCGCTGGCGTGAGCCGCTCAGCCACTTTGTGCCTTACCTACCTCATGAAGTACCATGCCGTGTCCCTGCTGGATGCCCACACATGGACCAAGTCATGCCGGCCCATCATCCGACCCAATGCTGGCTTTTGGGAGCAACTCATCCATTATGAGTTCCAGCTGTTTGGCAAGAATACTATACACATGGTCAGCTCCCCAATGGGAATGATCCCTGACATCTATGAGAAGGATGTCCGTTTGATGATTCCACTGTAAATCATCTCCTAGGCCTCTGCTTTGGGTCAAAGTACAGACCTATTATTGATCCTATATCAGGATCTGAACTTGAAGGATCTTTGTTGATACAGGAATGCACCAGATGATACCTTTTATAAGGGCAAAAAAAAAAAAAGAAAGTGATACCACAGCTTTCAACTTTGTAACCTATATCTTTAAAGATTAAACTTGATTGTTAGAGGTGAAGATAAATTTTCTACCCTATGAGTGGCAGGCCATGGCTGCTGGCCAGAGGGTGAAATAAGRCAGGTGGTACACTGGAGAGAGACCAGAGCACCAGTGCCTGGAATCCTGCTGCCCTTCGCTAGACTGAACAACTCATAAAYGAGACTGCCACAATCCTACTTTGTTCCTTCAAACCCAAAACCAGAGCCTTAAGCATCATGGCACCCCCTGAACTTTTCACAGTAAGTGCCAACCTACTGGATAAGTGGCCTTCAAATAGTGCTCTAGGAACCCTACAGGCCCCAAACAACCCACATCCATCAGTGGCCATACTCTAGTTTTCTAAGATCAAATTTACACAGAAKATAGTTTTCAAACAAASATTCCAATATTATAAAAWTTTTTAAAATTTTTTTTCTTGAGTGCTGTTGTATGTGACTAGATCTTAAATCCCCTATCAGTCTTAGATAAAGGGGGCATARTCCATTCTCTAGGACATGTCAGGTCTCCAGAGTTTTCTAGCTTGAAAGGCTGTACCTGCAAACCTGAACTTAGCCCTGTCACCTACCCTCAATGTGACTTAGAGCCTCAGTGTCCTCATCTRTGAAGATTCAGCARTTCTATAGYRCCAGGCCAGTCATGGTCCATGCTTAGCATAATGGACATCTCTCACTATGGATGATATACTCACTCTTTGGCCCTGCTGGTCCCAAGTCAAGGTATTTCCTCTCATCTGTGCATAGTCCTGTACTGTTTTCAAAGTGCTTTTCCAGAAAGTCACTCCATAATGGGGAGAAAAAGGGGTTTAAATCCTACCTCAGAAGAGGCATAGTCTTATAAGCCTTTTCAAAGTTTTCATCTGTTTAATCTAGGTGTGACCTAGGGGTCCTGAAGCAAGGGGTACAATTCTGACTTCCCCCAGAAGGCTTTGTTTAGAATTGCTATGAATTGTGAGAATGACTAGCCATGCTTGTCTCTTTAGTTAGATGAACAAAACCTCCAGTGTATGCTTGTACCAGATAAATTAGAACAAAACCAATTAATTTAAATATCAGCAGATCTTAAAAACTACATAATGTGCCCACAACTGATTTATGGCTAGACTGCTTAACCAAAAAGAAACATTCTGAACCCCCCCCCCAAAAAAAAGAAAGTTTGATTATAATGTGTCTTAGTGTGAATCTGAGTGTATATTCTAGTTTTTTGATCTTCCTGAATATTTTGTTTTATTTGGGATGGAATCTCCCTGTGTTGCCCAGGCTGGCTTTGAACTTGAGATTCTCATGCCTCAGCCTCTGTAGTATCTAGGATTATAAGGGCACACCATCATGCCTGGCTTTCCTAATATTTTTATTCATATCTTTCATTAGTTTGGGAAGTTTTCGGCTAGTTCTTCAAATATTCTTTTTGCTTCTCTCTCTCTCCTCCTTTGACATCCTCACTCCTCTCCTTTGACATTCTCACAGTGCATATCTTAGTTTATTTGATGATGTTGCACAGATCCCTTATTGTATGATCATTTATTTCCACTCTTCTTTGTGTTCCTCATTCTCAATAATTTTCATTGTCCTAAAATCAGTTTCACTGATTCTTTCTTCTGCCTTCTCAAATCTTCCTTAGTATCCATCCAGTGGATTTTTCATTTCCATTGTTGTACATTTCAGCTCCAGAAAAGTACGTCTTTTTAAGCCTTCTATTTATTGGTGTTGATATTCAGGTATAATTTTTGTTCTCTCTTTTTTTATATGGCATTTGTTGCTTTTTTCCACATCTTTGTTTTTATTGTTGTTTTTATTTCTTTTTTTTGGTACTGGGGTTTGAACCACCATGGAGCTGTATCTTTAGTTCTTTTTTCTTTCTTTCTTTCTTTCTTTCTTTTTTTTTTTTTTTTTTTGTAATTTTGAGATAAGATCTTGCTAAGTTGCTGAGACTGGAGATCTTCCTGTGTCAGCCTCCCAGACTTCTGGGATTAAAGGTGTGTACCGCTATGCCCAGTTTACAATTTTTTTTCCACATCTTAGTTTTTATTGTTGTTTTTATTTCTTTTTTTTGGTACTGGGGTTTGAACCACCATGGAGCTGTATCTTTAGTTCTTTTTTTTTTCTTTCTTTCTTTCTTTCTTTTTTTTTTTTTTTTTTTGTAATTTTGAGATAAGATCTTGCTAAGTTGCTGAGACTGGAGATCTTCCTGTCTCAGCCTCCCAGACTTCTGGGATTAAAGGTGTGTACCGCTATGCCCAGTTTACAATTGCTTTTGAATGTCCTAGTCTTTAATGTACAGCTTTCCAAAGGGGTTCACAAGAAAATTTAAGGTTAAAAAGGGCTATAGCCTTTGAATCTTATGACAGTCACTTCAGCAGGAGGGAATGGCCTTGTAACAGTGGGTGGAAGTGTAACAATGGCTTCCCACCTCTCTGTCCACACTTGTAATCAGATATTTTGAGGAAAAAGTCAGAGTCAATCAGTGTCTCTCTCTCTCTCTCTCTCTCTCTCTCTCTCTCTCTCCCCCTCCCCCTCCCTCCCTCCCTCTCTCCCTCCCTCCCTCCCCCCTCTCTCCCTCTCTCTCCCTCTCTCTCTCCCTCCCTCTCTCCCTCCCTCTCTCCCTCCCCTCCCCCTCTCCCTCTCTCCCTCCCCTCCCCCTCCTCCCCTCCTACTATGCTTGCCATAAACTTGTGTGATGGAGGTGATGGAGTTTAAGTTGGCTGATGCATAGCTACTACTGTGCTAACACCTGATACTGACTACAGTTAACTGCCATTTCAAGACTTATTTGGAAGGTGCAAAACTTTAATAGAACCCAGTTTCAAAGTAGTTACATAGTAATAGATTCTATCACCACAATAGTTTTCTATGCTAGAACACAGATTCCTGGTGCTTCCTACTCCACCATGATCCTAGGATCCCTTGACTGCATCCATCTAATGTATACAGTTGAAGGAGTTAATTAGCACGGTTAAAAGTTTACATTTTGGAAACCAACTCTTCTCTATATGTGTAATAAGGATTATAATGCATTCCACTGTTGTTGTGTATTCAAAAAAATAATAAAATCAATAAAAAAGAAACCATCTCTCATATATATATAAGTATATAGAAAGACTGATAAAATTTAGTGCTTGTTAAGGGAAGTTGGAAAGTTTAAGTCATGCTTTTTGTATGATTATTTTGAATACTAAATTATGGAAACATATTTAAGGAAAAAATCCAAATTCTAGTGTGTACTCATGCTACAAAGAGGAATGTTGAAGAGTGTATTGAGCGATCTGTGCTGTTGTTGCTATTTTATAATTCCTATGCTATTTATGACCTTTTATTCTCTTTCTCAAAGTGAGTAATTGTATGTACCAATATCAGTTGTAGCATCAGTGCCAGAATTTTTTCTTATCTTTCCTATCTCTCCTTTCTTGCTTGCCTGAACTTTAGTTTATGAGATACCAGGACAAGGATATTGTTAATTTGTTTTCTTAACTTAAATCATCCTTCTCCTTTACTATCATTCTGTCATCCCATTTCTCCTTTTTTTCCTTCAATTTCCCAAATGTTTCTATTTCCTTATATAATAAGTTCTAGAATAGAAAAAGGATTGGTGTGGGAAATAATGTTGCAACCATATAATGTTAAAAAGTAGTGATGTAAGTCACCACAGGTGTGACTTTTATAGTCCTAGAGTTTTCTAACATCAGAAACAATGCTTAAGAGTTCTACTTTCTGTTAAGACAGAATAGCATGTGTTTATGTTTTCTGCAAACAATGATAGTTTTTTACAGAACATAAAAATACGTATGAAAGCACAATGGAAAGACAGAAATTGAAGATGTGATGTTTGGAAGAAGGAAGGAACAAAATAGATTTTTTACTTTTTTTTTTTGCTGTTTGCCTGAGGACAAGAACCAGTCAGTGTTGTGTATTATTGCTAAAGCTTGGGTAGAATTTACACGATGGGAACTGGGATGTAGCTCAGTGATAGATGCATGATTCCCTGGGTTTAATCTCCAGTACTGTTTAAAAAAAGAAAAGAAAGAAAGAAATCAGAGGACAAATTTAGGAAGGCAAGTTAGAGAGTATATAAAGTAGAATCTTATGAGAGTTCCTCAAATTCTGCATGGAAATCCTAGTTTAAAAGTTAAAGAATTTGCTGTCCACCATAAGAGAGAAAGTTTGAGAATGAACATAGCCAAATAAATTGCTATTAAACAAAAACTAAATACTTTCAGAATAACATAATAAAGCCCAAGGTTTCTAAAAATATATTGTTCATAGTGTCCAGGATACACTCCACAGTTAATAGACACACACACTCTTATATACATACAAAAACTGAAAAATGTGACCATACTTAAGTGAGTCAATTAATTGAGACTGGCCCTAACATAACTCCTGTGTTAGAATTAGTAGCTGCTGTAACTATTTAAGTATGTAATAGATAATATGAATATCATGACTGAACAGAAAAGAAATATCAGGTGAAATAAAAACTAAAAGAACCACAATGAAAATTCTATACTTAATAGATGGGATTACAGAAGATTTGAGAAAAGATAGAAGAATCAGCAAACTTGGTAGATTAGAAGAAATTATTTAATCTTGACAAGTGAAAAAGATTTCAAAAAATGAAGCTAGCTTCAGTGACTTGTAAGACAATAGAGCAAAAGATCTAACATGTATTATTAGAGTCTTAGAAATACAACAGAGTGGAAATGGGACAGAAAATTTTGGAGCAATAATGAGATAAAAATTCTTTAGTGAAAAATGTGAATATACATGTTCAAGAAATACAGTGAATTTCAAACAAGATAAATACGATAACTCTTAAACACATCATAGTGATGCTATTTAAAACAATAGCTGAAAAAAAAAACTTGAAAGCATGCTGATAAACATAGGAATAACAAATAATAGCTGACTTCCTATCAGACATAATACAGCCCAGCAGGCTATAAGCACCTTTAAAGTGATGGT